ACACAATCAATTTGCTGTCACTCTTCATTTGCTTTCCTTTCAACAGTTGCTGGTATTCGGTTGCAAATGCATTTTGCTGCACGTCTCGAATGATATGAATTTCTGCATCTTTGATCTCTTCATATGTCAATTCTCCATTAATTCTTTCTTTTTTTGCTGTTCGACAGTTGTCCAAGAAACGGCAAACCCATGCTACAAGTCTTGTAAGTCGAAGCCAGCTTGAAAAATGAGAAGGATCCAAATACCAAGAATTCTCCTTACCCGCTTTCATCAGTTTACTTGGTTCCACTTGTTCACCAGTCGTAGATTTCTTTTTGCTAACTGCATCAGCAAACAATGATTGTTTCTCTTCATGATTTTCTGTTACGGACTTCATCTTTGAACGACCAGACTTCTTCTGCTCCGATACTGCTTCCATTGACATCTCAAATTGATTATTAGGCCATTCATCCTCAGCCATTTCCAAGAATTCTGGTCCTTTCCACCATTGCTCACTGTTTGCCAACGCAGATGCTACCATCTCTCTTGTCAAGTGATCAGCAGGATTATCCTTCGTGGGAACATATCTCCATTGCTCAGGGTTTGTCATGTTTTGAATCTCACCAACACGATTTGCAACAAATGGCTTGAAACATCTGCTATGTCCTCTGATCCACCAAAGTGTGTTCATGCTGTCACACCAGAATTTGACTTGCTTCACTGACACTTGCATTGCATTCGCTACCGATACCGCCAATCGAAGTCCTGTGACTGCTCCCATTAGTTCCATCCTTGGAATGCTCATAGCTGCCAGTGGTGCAACACGTGACTTTGCTGCGACAATATTAGTAGTAGCTGCATGATCAACGTAGACATACCTTGCATAAATAACAGCTCCATAAGCTTCTTCTGATGCATCACTGAAAACGTGTAATTGCATTGATTGAACATCTTTATGCTTGCCAGTGTGAAGACATCTTGGCACTGAAAGATTTGACAACTCGTGAAGTTCACTGTACCAACTCTGAATCTTTGACTTGACTTCGCCATCGAGCTCATCATCCCAATCGAAGCCTTGTCGCCAGATTTCCTGCATTACCACTTTTGCTCTAACGATGAATGGTGCCAAGAAACCAAGAGGGTCAAACAATGATGCAATGGTTCTCAGAAACGATCTCTTTGTGATGATTTGATTTTCTTCAGGTGGGCTTGAGTGAAAACTGAAAATATCCTCCTTTGCTCGCCAAAGTATTCCAAGGGTCTTTACAGTTGGAAGCTCTCCATTGTCCAAATCAATTTCAGATGCTCTGTCTTCTACTGGGATTACAGAGAGAACTTCTGGAGAATTAGAGAGCCACTTTCTTGCATGCATGCCTGCCTTGTTCCATAGAGCTGCAAGCTGATGATACAGTTGGATTCCCTTTTCGTCATCTTGTACTGAATCAATGCTGTCATCCATGTAGGTTGACTTGAGTGCAGTTTCTGAAGCCATCGGATATTCTGATCTGTACAACTGAGCATGCTTTTGAATCACAAACTGTGCTTGAAACGGTGAACTTGTTATACCAAACACCACTCGGCTGAATTCATACTCCTCTGGATCTCTGTCCTGGTCACATCTTCTCCAAAGAAATCGATGATACACACGGTCAGCTTCTGGAATCTGAATCCTCAAATACATCTCAGCAATGTCACAGACAACAGCGACGGGATGACATCTAAAGCGTAGCAAAACATCAAACAATTCTCGTTGCAGCTTCGGGCCTGAATGTATCATGTCATTCAAGGATGTCCCTTCATACTTTGCTGAAGCATCAAAGACGATTCTGATCTTGGTGGTCGCTTTGTTGGGTTTCAATATAGCAAAATGAGGAAGATACCACTTGCTGTCAGGTTGCTTCTCAGAGACTGGAACCTTTCGTATGTATCCTTTGTCCAAATATTGATCAATGACTTCATCGTATGCCTTCATCACATCTGGGTTCTTGAGCAAACGTTTCTCGGTGTTCTGAAGTCTTTTCATTGCCATTTTGTGATTGTTCACCATTCTATAACTATCTTCTTTCCATGGTACTCCAACTTCATATCGACCATCAATGAACCTGAAAGAATTCTCAGCTTTTTCCAATGCAGCCTTCTCATCAGGACTCACCACTGTTGTCTGGGTGAACGTTCCAGCTGAGTCGATATCCCAAAACTTCTTCATTGTTGAGTTGATTTCATCGACATCAGATCTGCTTGTAGTAAACAAAGTCGTCTTGCTGAAATGGGTATCAGGGATCTTCTTGCCTTCTGGACATCCTACGCATGTCCACCCCAATGGCGTTCGTCTGGCAATGGGCTCTCCTTCTTGTCCCCTGACTTCTTCGTAAGAATAGTGCATGTCAAGGTAGTCAATACCAATCAGCAAATCCACGATAGGTCTCAAACCGGTGTCTGGAAAATCAATGTGCTTCAAATGAGGCCATTTGTCTGCTAGATGTGACCATTGGATGACCTTCATGTTTCCAGTTACTCTCTTTGCAGTAAGTGCTTTTACTCTGATGTCAACATCACCACTTACACTTTCAAGTCCAAACTCGACAGGCATGGTTTGAAAAGACTTGCAATCTCCATTCAAAACATTGACCTTTATTGTTTCAAAGGTACCATTGAGTCCCAGTTCTGCTGCAACATCTTCATTCACATACGTTTGAGTGCTGGCATCATCAAGAAGTGCGTTCAATTTCAATCTTCGACAGCCATTTTTCAAAACAACCGGAATGGTTCTCAATGCTGTTGCTCCTTTGACATCTGATTTTGAGCACACCATCGTTGTTTGTGTTGCAAAATTCCTCTGCAAACGCTCCCCCTCCGTGACTGACGATGACAACTGTTGCTGACTGCTACTGCTGACTGATTGCTGATTGAAGGCTTCTGGTGTCCTTGTTTCATTGCTGTTTTGCTTTCCAGTGATCCTGTTACCCATGCTATGCAGCAACTTGTTGTGTGTTTCCTGACATCCACGAATACCACACACTCTACTTCGAGTACATTTACTACCACTGTGGTCATCACCAAGGCACCGAAAACACAATTTGAAATGCTTTGCCACATTCCATCGCTGTCGAATGTCCATGTTTCGAAAAGCATCACATGCCCATACACCATGTCTACCATTGCACACTTTGCACAGTCGCTGCTTACCGTATTTCCCACCAGTGACACCTGATCTACCAACTTGAAAACGATTCACTTGTGTTAATTCTTCAGTAGCACCAAAGAATGTGGTTTTCTTCTCTCCTGCTAAGTTTCTTGATCTACTGTTTCTTCTTTCGCTTGATACACCATGCACTGTCTCTCTTGCAACTGTGTAGAATTCAGACTCTTGAATCACCCACATCTTCAGTGTTTCAACGCATTCTCTTCTTCGATTCTCAAAGATCCATCGATTGTACTGCGTCAGCAGTGTTTCTGGAAGTTTCTTCAGTAGCTTGATGTAGAGAGATCCATTTCCCAATTCATCGTGACGTCCACTCTCCAGTAGATTCACCACCAGAACATCAAGTAGATCTGCAAACTTCTCTATGTCTTTTGAACATCCATCTCTCACTGGTTTGAAATTATCCATGTCCTCCAAGTGAATTGCGATTTCCCTCCTCTTGCCACCAAATTTTCGCTCTAACCTGTCCTTTGCAGCTTCATATGCAGCTCCAGAAAAGCCAAGATTCTCGATCGCTTCCAGTGCAACGCCAGATAGATATTGCCTCAACTGCAGCAGCTTGTATTCAGGAGTCGCAGGAGCTCTGTCAATGCAAGCCAGAAATGCAGCTTTCCAGTTCTCATACTTTCGCTTGTCACCAGAGAAAACGGGAATCGCAACACGCTGCAGCTGTCGCCACATGTCCTGACCAAGTGACTCTTCGTGTGAATATCGCTCAGATCGTCTGTGATCACCACCAAATCTGACTGACTGTTGCAGTTGCTGTGAATGTTCCTCCGGGGTCATTGGAAACTGACTTCTTTTCGCGCCAACACCGACATTGGTTGACTTGTGCTGAAGCTCTTGTCGCTCAGAATTGTTGTGAAATTGAGAAGAATCAAATTTCGCTTCCTGAAATGGCAAATAAGTCTCTTGATTAAATCTAGGTGCTCCCAGGCTTACCTTTCGATCCTCTCGTGGGTTGTAAGATCCCGCTGTCTTACTTGATTCTGAATCTCTTCGTTCATCCAGATACTCCTGTACTCTGTTGTGGGTCTCTTCGAATTCTTGCACCAATTGCTCCATTTCCTGAGTAACTTTTTGTCTTGCTGTTCCGTTCTTCTGCCATTGATAGTGCTCTGACAGTGCGATCATGATCTTCAGTGCCCTTTCTTGTGTGCTGTCCAATTTCGTTTGCCCATCTCGAACCTGATGTCTGTTTGGTAGATCCATTTCTTCCACCAGTTCCAACAACTGCTTTCTTGCACGTGTGAACGCCGACTTTGCTTTTGCTTTTTCTTGCTTCAAGCTTTCCAATTTTTCTTCCAAATCTTCCACGTCTTCCCCTCTTCCGATTCCATCTTCTGTCCTTCCTTCTTCACCTGCGTTTGAAGTCATGCTTCTCGTCAATTGGCCTTCCTCTGTCCAAGTTTGTCCACGGCAAAACTACCCTCTGCTACCAAATGTTTGAAAGACCGTCCGCGACTTTTGATCCTTAAGCCCGAAGGCTAAAAACTAACTAACTAACTACGAATACGAACCTAATTTATACTATTAACGACGTAAACAACTTTAAAATATTGTCACTAGTTTGATTGTCCATTACGCAAGGGATTAACAAATACTGTCCTCTAAAAACACATTAACACTCTCTACTAACCAACCATTGTCCAATTTAACGCAAAACAACTTGCTCAAACAACTATTGTGTACAGACGCGTAAAAGTTATTGTTCCAATCAACAATTACAAGAATGAAAGTATCACATGTCTGTCTTCTGAACACTGATAACTGAATGAAGTAAAAAGCAAATTATTAATTTATTATACTATCATTAAAATCTTTTGGAAAATTGAGTTCAAAAATGAGCGAGAGCGAGTTATCTTAAACTTCCAGGCTAGGGTGTGTAGGGTAATTAAAAGTAACGTTGACTTACGAAGATATCGATGAAAAAAAGTTTAAGGGTTTCAGCTGACAATAGACGCTATTACTGACCAACTAAGAAACCTTTAGACCAAATGAAAATCATCAACCAACTCGTGAAGATTTTGGGGGTGTCACATCTTCTATTCTTCCCTGCTAGCTACGCGACAGAAAACATGCATAATTGTTTAGACTATAACGAATACGAACAACTTACTTGTGTTTAGCAAAGTCCAAACCAGATGACGAACTCTCTTGCCTAACTAATCTGCCGGATAATATGTTCTTACATAAGTTTGTTAGCGAATTCGACAGCTGCTTTCAATTTATTAATAATGAAATGCACAATTGGCAGTTTCTTATCACAAAACTTCAAGCAAACATTACAGATTAAGCTAGCAAAGTCTTGAACAAATTTTCATAAATTTTCACATCAAGACAAACAAAGATTGATCAGAATGCCTAATGAAACGGAGATGAGCAAAAAGTTTCCTCGTCAAAGACAGTAGTAGGTGCTAATTATTGGTGTGTAAGGGTGTCAAAGCCTCAAAATGGTTGAAATAGTAGGTCAAAAACGAAAATTGATGGAGGACTGATAATGGCAAATTTTTCTTGTTTCCTATCATCGGTAGAATTCTCACTTTGCTGGCATCGATTGAGATTAGGTGATCCATGGCCTATCTACAGGCCATACTGAAATTCGCAAATGTTTAAACTGAAAATATTCACGGGTCAAACTCGTTGACAACATTGCTTAGGATACGCACATTAAATTATTATGTTGCTTTAGGATCTTTCAAAAATGCTTAAAAGTTTGTGCCTGAAAATAGTTTAGCTAAAATGTATTATGGCTTTGTTGAGCAATCTTTCCATTTCTAGTGATCTCTGTATTGAGAGACAACGCGCTATAGCGAACCCAAATTTCACGTTTTGTAAAAGCTTCGCAACAGAGCTACTAGAATTGTGATCAACAGCAACAAAGATGACGTCAAAAACAAACTTATTGGCCTACAGTTCTTAATATGAAAGAAAGTTAGACAGCTACAATTAAGCAGAAAGCATTACAGGTGAGGTGGAGAGGGGCTTGACGTACTTCAACGCCCTAATTAGGCAGATTTTACCGCATTCCATGCCTCCAAACTCAAATCGGGCAGTTATAAATGAAATTGAAGCAACGATATTCAGGCAAGATCCTACCCCTAAACGTTTAGCATCCGCTGCATCCATGAAAATTATCTTCCAAGGTCGAACAACCATAAAATCAGTTATCTTTAGATGTTCATCGCTAAGCCTTTTTCTAAATTCTAATTAGGCTAGAGAATTTCTTGCCTTAGCATTCTTAGAAAATATCTCCATTGTACTAATTTTTATCATTGTATCTTTAACATGATCTAAGTTTCCAATCAATTTCTTTTTAGTCGGGATTATGCCCCAAAGCCTGTGAGGATGGATCCTATCTATGAATAATAAAAAATAACATGAAATAAATATTATACTATCTTTAAATAATGGAAGATGACATTAAGGAAAGAGAAAAGTGAACAAAATTTATGAAAAAGTGAACAAAATTGAATACCATCGCAAATTTGTGCGGAGGAGCAATGCTGTTGTTGCTGTTTCTGTCGCCATATTTGCCAGTCGCTTGGAAACTGAAGTTTCAAAATTTGTTTTCAGTTAAATTTCTTCGCGTCTTCTGTCATTTTTCATGATTATCTTATGGAATTCTTGCGATCAGGTTGAAGTCAAAGCTTTTAACGATGAAGCGGGTATTCACTGTGCCAGAGAGAGTTCATGGAGGAGGATTGGTGAAGTTTTGTTGGCAGCAAAGCCAAGGGAATTATCTTGCAGCCACCGGTTAGGCCCTTTTTAAATACATCGTTCCAGACTTTTTGTTAATGTTTTACCGAAAATTTACATCTGATTGTTTGCAATTTTAATTTCTCATGTAAAGCACAATGCTTAGTTCCTGCAAAATAAACTTATATTTGTGTTTTCTCAGTTGCAAAGTCTCCGAGACTGTTGTTCTATTTAATTAGCAGGTGCAACACCTCATCCACTGATTTCGTAGACTGATAAGATGCTTTTAAAAGCTTTTTGGAAATCAGATCTCGGGGTAATTCGGAAAAAACACTCACCCTACCTTCACTGCATCCCTTTAGCTTCATTTGAAAAGATCATCTTTGCAAACTTAATAAAATGGGTGTGTTACGAAGAGAATTGAGGTGGCTGAATATGAAATAAATATCAATCGGTCACTCAAAAATTGTGATTGAATAAATTCACAAAACAATATCATTAAAATTCAAGGTGCCTGTTTGAAGTCCACAATGCCTGGTCTCGCACACCTTACACCCCAGTCTGCAGAGTATGGTAGATGCCTTGTGTGGTCAGTTTAGTGATGCAATCCAAAATTGGAGATTGCAAACTAAATTTATGGTAGCACTATTATGAAAACCTTCTATTAGTATGCCATATGAATAAAATAAGGAGGTTTGCATACAGTAAACATGCTTGAAATGACCCTGCACACACACAAGATCTCGTTGAAACCAATGATTCATTCTTCTCAAAGCCAAACCTCTTCACTCCACTCCCCCATTGCCAGTTTGATTATGAGGGCTTTTGCCTTAATTTCTTTATGCTCTATTACCAATTTACTCTTTTTCAAGGCAACAACCGGATGGTCACAATTTATGACAGACATGGTGAATTACGTGATGAGATTATGCTTCCGGGACAGTGTACTGGGATGGCATGGGACAAAGATGGTGACACTCTGGCTATTATCAACGACAAAAGTGGTAATTATCAGTTTTTAAAAGCCATCAATAAATTTGATTAGTCTGCTTATATAAAAGATCTCATATCATGATATCAGAACGATTCCCAATATTGTCCTTAGGATCAGGGCCAGACTGGGGGGTGTCCAATAACTTTCAGGGGGGAGGGTGTTCAATCACTCCTTATTGTCATGAGAAAGGTTGTCACCCCCTTCTCACACACAGGCACCTATTCTCAGAGGAAGCTTTTGGGACCTGTATTCTATATTGCTAACTGCTATTTATCAGCTTTTTTCTGAAGATATTTTATCTGAAGGATCTCAATTTCAAGATTCATTCTAAAAGCAGGGAATACGACTTTTTTGTGCCGTTAGGCCATTAACTCTTGTAAGATCTGCCTTATGTAAAAATGCACAAATCTTAGTTTTAGACTTAAATGTATTTGATTGTTCATTGGATAGATGTGGATGTGGAAGAAGATTAAATGTAATTCTGCCTAGCTAAATTTTATACTTGAAGAAGTCAATAATTTACAAAGTCTTGTTAAGGTAAAAATATCTTTATTTCTTTGCAGGGGCAATCTCCCTTTGGGATGCAAACAGTCAAAAGACAAGCCAACTTGAAAGTGGATTGCGAGACACTTTGACGTTTCTTGTTTGGGCCAAAGCGAGTCAGGCTCTAGCAGTCGGAACAGCAAAGGGGAATCTCCTGTTCTACAATCACCAGACATCAAGGAAAATTCCCATATTAGGAAAACACACAAAGAAAATTAGCTGTGGGGCCTGGAACTCAGAAAATTTATTGGCACTTGGTTCTGAAGACAAAACGATCTCAATCAGTAACATAGATGGTGACACACTAAAACAATCCAACACAAGGTTTTTGTTAAGTTTTTAGATTTTGAAATAAACCATTGATACTAAAAAGTTCAACATTATCATAGAAAACGAAAACATGGCATTCCTAACAAAACATGGCATTAAAATGTGTTTTGTAAGTCATTCCTAAGAAGTATGTTTTTTGAAATGGCTTTGAAAAAAGCAGATTTTTAATGGCATACTGGAAGCTTTTTCGCCTGACACTCTTCAGAGTATAAAACATCAGAATAAGGGTCCAAAAGAACAAGTTGGAAAATATATACCCAGTTGCAGATCAAAATAGGCCATTCAGAAAAACGCAAGTATATGAACGGTATAATTGTCCAATCTGTCTACATGATTGTGCATACCTTGACAAATTATTGTGCAAATAACCTATCTACATAAAGGGGCATACCTTGACGATTTGGAGTGGGGGGAGGGCAGTGTAAACTGGTGAATCCGGACCCCCCATTCCCCCCCCTTGGGTACGCCAATGTTGGCAAACCAGTTAATACTAACTTACTCTAACATTAAAGTTGTGTTATTCTTGATGTGTTAACCATGTTTCTTCTTTAGATACGAACCATCTGATATCCAGTTTTCAAACATGAAGATGGATGAACGATCAGGATTAGGGGAGACAACAGTGAGTCTTGTGGTAGGCAAGAAAACACTGTATTTGTACAACGTCAACGAACCTGACAACCCAATCGAGTTGGCCTTTCAACCAAGGTAAGCAAATCAGATTTTAAGAACTAGGGAGTACCTCAAATCTGAAAGAACAAGTAGAAGAAGGTAGAAATAGGGGTACTTTTCCAAAGTCCAAAAGAGGATACATCTGACCCTACGCCCAGGAAGGTCAAAAGTATTCCAAAATTGGAAGGGCACAACTAGGAAGAGGTAGAAATATGGATGCTTTTCGAAAGTCCAACAGAGGGTGCTTATGGCCCTACGCCAAGGAAAGTCGAAAGTATTCCAAAATTGGAGGGCACAACAAGGAAGGAGTGGAAAAGGAGATTCTTTTAAACGTCTAAATAAGGGTACTTCTGATCCTATAAGCGGAGCATTTGACCAAAAGCTAGAGCCCCCCCCCCAAATGAGGTAGCAGTGTGCAATAAGTCTAAATTCATTCGATAGGCAATTTTATCTTTTTGTATAGGTTTTCTGGAATCTGTCTATAATGAAATTAATTGCTGATTTATGTGAATCTGATTAAGTCCCCCCCTCCCCCCGTCTACTCTTCCGCTATATGAGGGTTCATGATCGCCAACTTGTCAAAACAAGGACCAATCAAACGTGCCATTCTACCACTCAACTTATTTTCGATTCCATTCAACTTGCGGGCATTACCCTACGTTCTTTATGGACAACAGTACCTTGTGTTCTGTTCTGTGTTTTCGTGCCATCGTGAACTCATGATATAACAATCATTATCACTCATATGATTAAGTGATTTGTCCTTTGATTATTGATTCGAACAATGATTGTTGATTTGAACTTTGATTAGGTATGGATCGATCAGCGCTTACAAATGGTTTGGAGATGGCTATATTATGATTGGCTTCTCAAATGGATATCTTGTTGTCATATCAACGCATCTTAAAGAAATCGGACAAGAACTCTTCCAAACACGTGATCATAAGGATTCTCTGAAGGACATTGGGATATCATTGTCATTCAAGAAGGCTGCGTCATGTGGCGATAACTGCATCAAGATTCATGACGTCACTGATATGAAAGAGATCTACGCCATAATAACGATCGATGACGCTGGAGGGCAGTTGGATAAAATGGAGTGGACAGAAGACGGACAGCTTCTGGCTGTTAGCACGGAGAAAGGTTGGTATGCTCAAACGTCTGTATACCCAGTGTCACAATGTATATCACAATAGGTCATATGTCATATGTTAAATGTCATATGTCATATGTAAAAAATCAAATTCCACAAGTTATATATTAAAAGTCATATGCCTGAAGTCATATGTTAAAAGTCATATGGCACAAGTCATGTCACGGAAGTTAAATGTCATGAATTATATGTTAAATATCATATGTCACAGGTCATACTTCACCTGCTATAGGTCATAGGCTACAACGTTCTATATATACCAATCACTTGAATAGAATGAAGCGATATGAGAATGCACAGCTTTTTTGCTGACAGCACAGAAAAAACCGTCTGATTTAAAAGTATTTTTGTTCTTTTAAAAAACTGCTTATAAAAACTTTTGTATCGTCTCTATAGCATTCCCTTCCTTGATGCCAGTAGGACTCTGTTTTTTGGGAATAGCTCGAGCAAAATACTATTTAACTTGTTCGTTATATCTAAATTGTTTTCTTTGTTATCAAAATTAGTTTTTCTTTACTTGTCGGTGTTTTGCGTTTTGCCTGTCGTTTTAAGAATCATATAATTGCCAGTTTCCCAGTGCCTGAACCACCCCCGAAATAAGGATTGTCGGTTATAGTGATTTCAATTGGTTTTGCATGTTTTTGAGTGTATGGACGGGGGATGACACAGTCACGTTTATTTTCATTTCAAGGTGCGGTGCATGTTTACCTCACCAAGCTGCCGATACTGGGAGACGCATCTGGTACCAAGATCGCCTATCTGACGTCACTAAGAGAAGTGACAGTTGTCGATGAAGTGAACCAGGAGAGACAGATGAAAGTACCAACTCACATAGAGCCTAGTTTCATGGCAATTGGACCGTATCATCTTGCAGTTGGTATGAACAACCGCGCATGGTTTTGCACTTTCACTGAGCAAGGTCCATCTCCCTTTAAAGACAAGGAGTATCTCGGAACAGTGGCTCAAATTCATGTAAATAGATTTTGTTCCAATTATGTTTCTTTCCTGAAACTTCTTCTAAATCTTTGTTAATCAAATACAAAATATAAAATTCCTATTACCAAATATCTGCTGATGAAGTTTGAAGTTTTTGGGTAAATTATTTTCAATTTTTTCAGAAATCAAAATGATTTATGAGCACAAAACATATGTTTCAAAAGTCGTACATCGTAAGTTACATCTGACAAGTCAGGTGTCACAAGTCGTATGTCACAAGTCATAGGTAAATATTTATAGGTCATAAGTCACAATTGTATATACCCATTGTCAACCATTGCTATTTCTACTTGCCTTTCCCATTTGGGAAGCCTTGTTTAACTGAATTTATAGTATCAAGGAACAGAAGTCATGTGCCATAGGTTAAAGATCATGGGTTATAATTCATAGTTCTGGATTTTTTTCAGGTTAATGAAGAATACGCGGCTGTACTGTTTGAAAACAAAGTTCAAGTCCATTTGATTGACAACGAAGATGGTGAAACTGACGAAGAGAAGGAAACCAAACTGTTTCCTGAGGGTGCGTTAGTAAGGTTTCTTTCTTGCATGAATTAGCTGAATTCTTGGAGTGTTCAGGTATATGGAGCGAAATCAAACCAGTGTTTCTGTTTTTGTGGCAATAAACAAGATTTTAGTTGCCCAAACTTTATATCAAATGTTACAAGCCAGCTTCAGTAAACACAGCCTGAAATTTATTTCTGTTCTCATCTATTCGATATTTTCCACTGAACTTCCATGTTGTGACGTCACAATTAATATCTGCGATCTTTTTCATTTCAGGGAACGACAGAAGCTCGATATATTGCTGCGGGCTAACCGCAGATTTCCTCGTTTTTGGCACATCTTCTGGCGACATAAAGTTCTTCTTCTTAGAAGATTGGCAGTTTGTTATCGAATATCGTCACACTGTTGCAGTCCGCAAGATATTCCCCGGACCAGTCGGTACTAAAGCTGTCTTTATAGACGACAAAGGCGATGGGTTTGTGTTCATCCCCATGAACGACATGGTATTCGAAATTTCAAATTTCCCGCCAACAATTCGCACTGTATTGTGGGATAACTGGTTGCTTGAGAAAGGCGTATTCTGTGCGTGTGATGAGGAGAAAGTGTTTTTATACGTGTTCTCGAAAGACACGATAACGGGCTCGCAATGCGTGTTAGCAAGCACGACAAAAATGCCCTTTGGACACAGCCCGTTGATGTTATACAACGGCGAACTCACGTGTCAAACACAGAGCGGGAAAATAACGAAACTTATGCTGACGATGTACGGTGAGAACACACCAAATGATTTAGGCCGGGATGAGACGGTGCAAGCACTGGAGCAAGCGCTTGTTATGAAGAGGTTTAAAGACGCATGGAGTATATGTTCGTTGTTGAATGATAACGAGGCTTGGAAGAATTTTGCATCCGAGGCTGCTAAGAATCTTGATATTGATCTGGCTATTCAGGTATCTATTACTATCTTGATTCTCCCCCGGTTTGTTTGTTGGTTGTATTCATTACAGAAAATTGTTGTTTATCGAACAGGGGGGACAACGAATAACGCTTTACACCTTCAGAAACGAAATCTATTATAACGACAAATGTTCATAATTTGAATTTTCGAATGCCAAGAATAGTCCAATGTCCTCACTTTCAACAGCCCTGTTAAATGTAAACTTTTTAACTGCATTATTTCCATAATTTTGTCTCTCTTCCTTTTCCAGTGTAACAATTTATTTCAACAACTGACTCTCTATCGCTTTATGTAATCTTGAATTGCAAATAGTTCTTAATATTAATGAAAATTACTGTTATACTGGTCTGTGCCATTGTACCATACAGTGCTCGATACCATTGTGACAGAGCTGTACATGCTTTGGTGAATTGAACAGTACAGTTTTAAATTGCCACACTGAGTTTCACGCTTAATGCGACCACCAAGCAACTGTTACAAATTCTCTCTCTATCTCTCTATGAGTGTTATCATATTTCGTTGCTTTGTCCCTGAAAGTATCGGGATTCTCAATCGCTCGTAGTTGTTGATTAGTGGGCAATGATGTATAGAATTATTTGGTGGAATTTAGATCCCAGATTTGTCTCTGAGCTAATTCATTCCCCTTTGAATCAAAATTCACGGTTCAAATTTCTTTCTTTAAGGTTTATCGAAAACTGGGCGATGTTGCCATGGTGCTTTCTCTTGAAAAGATCAAAAGTATCGAAGATAAAAATCTGCTTGCTGGAAACATTGCGATGTATTTAGGAGAGTTCACCATTGCGCAGGAGCTTTTTCTAGCCTCGAGTCACCCCGTTGCTGCACTGGAAATGAGGCGGGACTTGCTCCATTGGGATCAGGTAGTTAGTTTAAAGGAGTTTTTTTCCCAAATGATGTTTTCAATCACCCGTTATGTTTTTAAAATTCGTTTCTTGCTGATGATATCAATTTAATTTTATATGTTTCTTTAAAATTTATGCTTGTAGGCACTCGAACTCTCAAAGACTCTCGCTCCTTCGGAGATTCCATTCATCTCAAAAGAATATGCGCAGCAACTTGAGTTTATGGGGGATTACCCTAGCTCATTGATGCATTACGAAAAGGGAATCACCAGTGCACCGGAAAATAAGGAGCATGACGAATTTTGTATTGGGGGTGTGGCAAGAATGGCAATAAGGATGGGGGATATCCGACGGGGGGTAAGTCTGGCCATGAAATCGACGAACAAACAGCTGAAAAAGGTAAGAGATACACGCAATCTTCACTTTATTTCCACCCCGTCCTTCTTATTTCTTTTTCAGAATGATAGGAAAGAAACTTAAGGGTAACCGTAAAATTAATTTGACTGGGCTCTAGCTAAATTGATACCAAAGATCAGGAGTACAGCTTAAAATGTACAAGCCTGTGGTTTCTCACAAAAACAGGCCCATGTGTTTGTTTTTCCTGTTAATTTTCTTTATTTGCATCAGATTAAAATTACTTGAAATGATCAAATTAAGATTATATTGTAGGAAAATATATATTTTTTCTTTTTTCACGTGCCAATTGTAAAATAGGTTTTCTAACACTGACTTGTAACCCTGTCTAAATAAGTTTTAAATGACATGAGGCAGGCCTGGTCGTAAGACTTTTAGCAGCGGAATAGTGAACAGCTCTCCTAGTAATTTCCAGAAAAGCTATTCAAAGACATATACAAATAGAAATTAGGGGGAAATTGTTTTCAAGGAGGCAATTCGCTTTTTTGAACAGTTTAGGGGAGCAGTCAGCAAACATTTGAGGGGGCCTGGGGGGGAGCAAGAGCTATGGCTCTCCTCAAGTGGCCAGGCCTGATGAAGTGAAATGAAATGAAGGGAAATGAGAGGGAAGTTATGTAATGACTCTGTTCATTTCTGCATTGTAGGAGTGTGCCAGTCTTCTGGAAGGCATCAAGCAATACAACGAAGCAGGGGCATTATTCGAAGCATCACAGGCATGGGATAAGGCAGCGGCTGTGTATATCAAAACAAAACATTGGGCAAAAGTTGGAGAGCTCATGAAATATATTACGTCACCGAAATTGTTGATACAGTACGCAAAGGCCAAGGAAACTGATATGAAGTATGTACATATGTAGATTTTAAATCTGAAGATTAACGTCTATTGTTCTGTTTTATATTGTTTGTTGTTGTGTAGACAGGGCACTGATTTTGTTTATAATGTTTTACCCTGGGTGCCAGAGTCACAAAATTTCGAGCGCGTAAACAGAAAGCCAAGCAAAGAAGCGTAGGAGCTTCTCTTCTCAGATAGGTGCTCCTTCGCTTTTCGCTCCTATTTTCTATTTCTGTGATCAAATTTATGTGACTCTGGTACCCAGGGTGAAAATGTTTATATTATAAAGATGGCTAAGAGTCCCGGTTTACTGATCGAAGTTTCTGTGATTCGAGTCACCGACATGACCAAATTTGCACCCAGGGTGAGAAGAGTTGCCTGCTCTCTGTAATTAAAGAGGCAGGAAACTCGAGATGTGGTCACATCCTCAGTGCTTGGGGTTGGGGACTACAGCTCCAAGGGTCCCAAGAAATAAACCCTGATTGTTTAGGGTCATTCAGAATTACGCTATTCTTGGCATTCAAACTGATAAACTTATTCAAATAAAATTGCATTCAATTGATTGTTAACTCCCTCATTTCGTTTCTATTCAACAAGTCTCTGGAAGACCTAGAATTACCTAAAATCGCACATTCAGTTAGATTAATACACAACTCTGTTCCCCTTTATCACAGATTCAAAGAGGCCGCTTCTGCATACGAGGCTGCCAAGGACTACGACAGTGTCATACGCATCAATCTCGATCACCTGCAAAACCCAGAAGAGGCTGTACGAATCGTAAACGAGACTAAGTCAGTGGATGGCGCCAAGATGGTAGCCAAGTTTTTCCAAAAAATCGGTGACTTTGCTTCGGCAATACAGTTCCTGGTTCTCTCCAGATGCAACGAAGACGCGTTTTTATTGGCTCAAGAACACAATCAAATGGAACAATACGCGGAAATAATCGGAGACCAAGCCACGCCTGACGATTATGGAAGCATAGCTTTGTATTTCGAGAATAAGAATCAGCATTTCCTTTCGGGAAAATTCTTTTATTTGTCAGGTGGGTTACTAATTCTAAATTTCACGTAAAAAAATCACGCAGATCATTACAAAAAGTCGATAGCTCACTTCGTGAATTGCTTTTATAGTTTTGTGATGGCCATTCAAGTACATGGTCCACTAATCCGCCGAATTTCAAACTAATTTTTTTCCCAACAAATTAAATCCAATTTGCAAATAACAAGTATCCTTTTTTTCGAATCATTTTTTAAGCCACTAAAGCAAATCAACGGCTTTTTTATCCCTTATTGTAATTAAATCTGATTCGGCATCTATTTCTGTTGGTAATTTTTTCAGGGTGGTCCACCAATACGCCGGATTTTATACAGCTCTCACCCCCGGATTTTGTACAGTGCTCACCCCCGGATTTTGTACAGCTATCATATTGAAACAAGTTAGCCAATACCAGACATCCTTAAGTCCAGAAAACAATCTTTTCTCAGAATAGCGTAGCAAGTTCCAGTGCTAACCCTCTCTATGTCTCTTTGCCTAATGCATGATTTTAGTCCCACAATTCTTCTTTCCTCCCCATCCTGTTTCCCATACTCTTACAACCTGTCGTTATTCAAAACAAAGGTAAACATTTTTTCCTCTCTTGTTTCCTAATCCTTTGGTCCGGCCCCTTGCTAGGCCCATGAGCTTTTCTCTAACATCACCAACTGAAAGAAAGTTGATGGATCAGTCTCTTAATTGCTATGTTTTAAGAGAGTGTTGTCTTGATACATTTAAATGAATGGTCCACCAAAACACCGGATTTCCCATTTATTTAGAGTAGCAAAGCATGTTGGTAGTGATCATCCTTTAATCCGTACAATAACCTTTTTGCAGAGCAATACAGCAAAGCCATGGCCCAGTTTGTGAAATGCTCCGTGAACGAAGAAGGAGAGTCTATTGACTACGCAATTGAGACCATTGGGAAGGCGCAGGATGAGAATCTGACACATCAACTGATCGACTACCTCATGGGAGAAATCGATGGAATCCCAAAGGATGCAAAATACCTTTTCAGACTTTACATGGCATTAAAAAGGTATTTCTTGAAGCAAATTTAAAGTGTTGGTCTCCAAAACATGGTGGTCTTAAGTAACATGGCGGTCTTGAGACCAACGAAAAACGCTAGTTAAACACACAAAGTCTGCCTTGTTGTCTCTGACTTTCTGTGTAGGATTTGCAGGGTTTAAGGGTTTTATCCTGAGGAAAGATGGAAACTTGTTGGAACTCTGTTGTTGGTTCAAACCACAAAATACTCTCGTAGTGGCTGCAGTGATATATGATAAAAATTCCTTTATCTTATTATCAGCCTTAATGTATTTTTAATATGTTAGGAAAGTCTCTCATCCCAATTCTCATGAGCTCTGTCATCTTTCTAGGTACAAAGAGGCGGCTCGGACAGCCATCATTATTGCAAGAGACGATCAAGAGGCTGGTAACTATAGAAACGCACACGATGTGTTGTTCAGCATGTACAGGGAACTGAGGAACAGAAGCATAAAAGTACCAACAGAGATGATACAGAACCTTATGATCCTTCACAGCTACATACTTGCAAAGATTCACGCGCGCAGAGGTGATCATCTCAAAAGTGCGCGCCTGCTTGTCCGCGTTGCAAATAACATCAGCAAATTCCCGTCCCACATTGTTCCGATTCTGACGTCAACGGTTATCGAATGTCACCGCGCGGGGCTGCGGAATTCGTCTTTCAGTTACGCAGCTATGTTGATGCGGCCCGAGTATCGATCAAAACTTGATCTTAAGTACAAGAAGAAAATAGAACAGATTGTCCGAAAGCCGGACAAGTCCGAAGAAGAAGAGGTTTCAGATGCGTGTCCGTATTGCAGTTATTCTGTGCCACAAACGCAGCTTGAGTGTCCGGATTGTAAGAACAATTTGCCGTACTGCATTATCACCGGACGGCATATGATCAAGGAAGATTGGGCAAATTGTCCGAATTGCACTTTCCCGGCCATCTGTTCAGAATTCAAAGCCCTCCTTGAGGGTGATGACACCAACTGTCCGATGTGTTCAGAAAAGGTAACCATAAATAGCTTGAAGCCAATTGCAGATCCTACCTTGTATCTGAAGCAGGATGAGACTGAGAACTCGTAATGCTACCCATCCACCCTCGGGTCCAATTTATCATATATACAATACAGAATATATTGATGTTTTGCACGGGGGAAAGATACTGATTTTATCAAGATATGTCTACTCTAGTGTCTCTAATAGACGACACCCCCCCCCCCAGTGTATTAATTTCAGAAGAATTTGCCCTCCCCCCGTCACTTATTAGCACCCCGTTCTAAAAAAATTTACAAATCTGTCATGACCAGAACACGCAGAAAATTTTTATGAAAAAGCGATGTGATTTATGAAAAAGAGTAGACTCCTGTCTGTGAGAACAAAACGCCCAAATTGAGGGGAATCCGCCTAAGACACTGCCCTTTTAATTATAATATTTGACAACATCCACTCCTTCTATTAGCTCCCCTTTGCTATTAAAATTTGCTGAAATTTTATTGAAAATTGGCCAACCTGAACACCCCTTCTATTAGCAACCCCCCTCTATTGAAAACTGGCCGACATGAATACCTCCTTCTATTGGCACCCCCTTCTATTGAAAACTGGCCGGAATGAACACCCTCTTCTATTACCTCTCCCTTCTATCAGAGACGCTAGAGTACATGATTACATATGCTCCACTTCGACCAATGGCCTAGTTTTTGTTGACTTTGCATTGGCTCTGGGGGCTTTAGTCCTTTGAAATTCCTAAAAGTATTTCTAAGCACTAAGTGGACTATTTTCGTTCGTTGTTGTTATAAAAATGTTTTATTTTGCCCCCTAATCCGTTATATATTTTGCTGTAACTGAAACTTCCCCCTATAAGTTAAATCTTTACCCCAAAAATTTGATTGAATAATCAAGAAAGAGTATGCTGTTATATACTCCACTTAGAAAATGTTATTTTAAATGTAGATAAGCTTGGCGAGTGGCGGAATTCCAGCCTTTCATTGTTGGAGCAAAAACAGTGAATTTTCCGTGATTCTTGTCTGGGCGAATATGAGATTTTATAGAAATATTGTATTACCCTCCAACCCTTAGATTTTTTTCTAGCGTTGTCCATTCAACTTTGTTTATCAATGTTAAATATACTTGAGGTGTTGTAATTCACTGGAGAGTTTGACTCCCATTGTTTCTGTGATCTCCAGAATGTCTTCTCGACATTTTCCAAAGCAACTGTTAACCCCTAGGACACCCCCATCCCACTCCTACCCTACCCCATCTCATTCCTACCCTACCCAATCTCATTCCTACCCTACCCCATCCCAATCCTACCCTACCCCATCCCACTCCTACCCTACCCCATCCCACTCCTACCTTACCCCATCTCACTCCTACCCTACCCTATCTCACTCCTACCCTACCCCATCCCACTCCTACCCTACCCCATCCCACACCTACCCTACCCTACCCCACTCTACCCTATCCTACCCTACCCGATCCTACCCAACTCTACCCTACTTCAGCTGCAAAATTTGTTCCTCCAAAGTTTTTCTCATAACAAACTGTTTTTCTTCGTTTAGAGATCTTCGTTTAAACTGTAAAAATTACCTCGTACATAATTTACAATTGATAGAATAGATGTACAAATCTTATCAAAGTTTATCAGATTTGATTGTGTTCTATCTGGGTTTTCTATCTATTTCTCTCTTGAAGTTATAATTTACATATTTATCATGGGATTGCGCAGTTGATATCGATTTGCTGATAAATCTGCTCTGTTTTGTCTCTCTGATAAAATCTTCTTTACCCCCTTATCCATAATCACAAGGAATTCCGTTTGATTTTGTTTCATGAATGCTGAGATAACTGTCCTCAAAATATTCCCAATTTTATTGTATTTTTATGCTAATTATCATATTGTTCTGATAATTAGTGAAATTTTTATTGACATATCTAATAACAAACATCAATAATAGTTATTAACTGAAAATTTGAGTTTCTTGGCATTGAAAACAACAAAATAAATTTACAAAAAATACATGACTTTTTTCGTCTGATTTTCAAATTTAGGCTGGGCGTGACTCTACGTTGTTGTTATCTTCTTGACGATTCGAGCTATTGCGTTCATAAAGATAATTTCAATTGTTTATCAATTCAATCGTTTATAAAGATGATTTCCGAGGGGCAATTCACTCTTGCAAACAGCGTACAAGATTTTCCCTAAAATAAAAGGATTTCTAGGGATTTTTAGATAAAACAATAAGATTGTCACAAAAGGTGTACGAGATTTTCGTAGAGTGATTTGCCCCTCGATGATTTCAACCCCTCGCCTAACACGATTCCCCCTGCAAAGCATCTTCTTGTCTAAACAGCTCCCTGAGGTTAGGTACAGTTGGTCTATCAAACACGTGATGGCCATAGACACAATGGTCTATCATATCACGTGGTAATGTTCCAGTCTAGCCTGATTGGTCTAAGCTTGTTTTTTCACACAAGACAGAAAGGTGCGTCGAAGTCTCATCGCAGCAACTTCGTCAAGATTTTCCAGAGGAATTTCTTCGAGAATTAGCCTTCAACAGTGAAAGATCTTTCTGGTAAGAATTTCAGGTAAGGTTTTTTAAAAGCTAAGCTTTGCAGTCAATTTTCAAGCGATAAACTTTTGTCTGAAGATAGCCAAAATAGATGCATACGTGGAATGCAGGTCCTGTGACTTTAGGCCGAATCACATGCGTCAAAAGTTATCGTTTAGTTTGCGCCACAGGAATACTTTGTATTAGGGATAAAAGGTCCTCTTCAACAGTACATGAATCGTTAATTTCAATTAATAAATTTTCCAGCGCCTCGAATCTTATTTTCTTGCACCTATTTCAAGATTGAATACCTTGTTTTCCGCCTAAAACTGTCACCTCACCTTTAGTTGGAATCCAATGCAACTCTGTAAATCCTTTGACTTAGACCGCAGACCACAGACTGCATTCTTTGTATTGCGAGGGCAAGATCTTTCCCGGGCCCTCATTTCAGCTTGCGGCCACACATACAATATTTTTCCTTGGAGAGTAGCTCCTGTTCCCTTACCTATACTGTTCCAGTTTCTGAACTCATTTCCCTGAATAATGAACAGATCTGCCCTGAAATCAATGAATGCAACTGGACTGCAGAAGCTGAGGCAGAAGAGGGGGCTGGGGATTTTATGTATGTTTAGCCCACTAAACGTTATAGCCTCCTCAATAAGTAAGATGCTCTTTGGTCCTCACAAAAATTGCATGATTTTGTATTCTTTGTACCAACTTCATTCTGCCTGTTGCATTTCTGCTGGACAGGGGCAGATCTAGAGCAAATTTGAAAGAGGGGCAGTTGGTAATGGGGGCGCTGTATACAACAATTTCAGATACCTTTTCAGAATAAACAACACAACTTTGAGGTAATCCTTGAAGCAAATTAACCTATCGGCCCAAGAACCTTTTTCATCTCATTCTCATTCTTCAAAAGGGGCGCACAATTTCTAAAAAAGGGGCGCAAGACTTGCGTCAACTCGTTGAGGGAGGGGCAACTGCCCCTAGTTGCTCCCCCCTTAAATCCGCCACTTCTGTTGGAGAAGAGGGGTAACTGCCAGACAGGGGGAAAGCCATTTTGATGGCTTTCTGGTTACCCAAAGGTAGTTTTTACCTGGAACACCAAGCAATTTGTGTTGCCACTTTCAATTTTTTGTTTACAGAACCACAACCTCTCCCTTGCATCCCCATAACCCGATAGTCTGCTCAACAATTATGCCAGTCACAAGAACAAAACAATTTTCCCAATCTCTTTCTTTGTTTTACTTTAAACCAACAATTTTCCAAAGGGGTGGCTGAATTTTAGTAAGACCTATCGATAAAATTTGGTTGTCCCAGGTGTGTGGGAGACAGAATTGTCCATCAACAATGTGTGGCCATAGCTTCCTGGGTTCTCTGTTATGTGCATAAGATGATAATTGTGAATTTCAGAGAGATTTTCAGAGGTTAAAGACTGAAGAATTTTTTACAATATTTCTCAAGTTAAAGGCAAACTTTGCTGTTTTTCAAAATAGTTACTAAAAACTTAATATCAAAATATCTAAGTGTCTAAGCTGTTCTTGAGTTTGATACTTAGAGGAAATAAGCAGATACTAAAATGGCTTAAGTCATCTGTTCATTTAACTATGGCAGATAAATAGGAGTGTGACCTGTGTGCCATCTACCCCCAGGCTATATAGCATCACCACTTTCCGGCCATATAGTTAGCGGGTAGGTAAGAAGATGGCTCGGTAGTTAGCCAGCGATGCCAGAACAACCATAGGCAAAAGTGGCAGGCTTGAGTAAAAGGGCATTTGAAAAATAGTTTCCAGCTACTAACAATCTTTTCGTAACTGTCACTCTGTTTTGATTTTCTGTAGGTCTCATCTTGAAAATCGACTAATTTTTGGCATTAGAACAATCTTTATAGGCTTTGAGACATGTCATCAGTCAGGATTTCATATAAATCTTTTGATAATTACAAAAGACCAATGTCATTGGAACTTCTATGAAAAGGGCACTTTGTATCCCTTGCCCCCAGGGGCGGACACTTGGTCAAATATTGGGGGGCAAGCCTATTGTTTTAATAAGATGACATCACATTTCCCATTGTTTTAGAAAAAAAGACCATTGTTCTCTAAAGTATTGGAGGGCGATCGCCCCCCTCACCCCCCTCAAGTGTCCGCCACTGCTTGCCCCTTCTATCAAAAGATGACAGCCCCTGCACCCCATCTCTAGCATCCCTGATTTCAGCCTTAGGAATCACAAGGTATGGTCACATGGCAAGGAAGGACCAGGATTCTGCTTGATAAGCATAGCTTCTCATTTTCCTAAAAATTATTCTCTGATGCTTGGTAACAACAAAAACAAATTGTAGAAAGTTAGCAGTTATTCAAGAGATTCTATGCACTTTTACTGTGCTCACCACCCTCTAATTGTGATGCCAGACTGCACCTGCTTAATTCAATAAACAGGGTGATGCTGGTGTCTTTGACAAGTTGGTTTAAGCATCCAAGCAAGCAAATTGCAAATTGCCTCATTGTCTAGACAGGTACCAGGTGTCAAATATCAATTACAGGTTTTTTGCACACAGTCAGCTTAAAAGAAGAGGCCTGGGCTGTTTGGTATATGCCAACAATTGCAGCTCTTACTATGAACAAACACACAAGTAAACAAATGTAATGCCTTGGAGGTATGCATTAAAAGAGGAATGCTATTTTTTACTTCATCCACCCAGGAGGCATTTTGGATGGCACTTGGGTCTGGGGCCAGCTGAGCCCACCAACCATAGAGGAGGGTCTCCCATGGGGTTTTCAGGAACAAGGAAACATAGCAACAAATATTATAGGAACACAGGAACAACTTAAATTTTCCACCCGGAACAATGGAATATTACTACTAGCTTAAGGCGATAAGGGAGTATTTTTTAAAGGGAACACAGGAGCAAGTACGTCCCCTCCCCTTGCAGACTCTCATAGAGAGCAACTATGTTTGGACGTGAGGGTTTGATACGTTTTGACATTCTAGAGGGGGTCAACCCCTGGCAGCTTTTTACTTTAGATTAGATTGACTATAAAAGTAACCATTTGCCATCCAGATTTGTTAACAAAAGAACCTTTTTATAATCTAAGACTAACCATTAACAAATGACACAAAACCCTTTTCATTATCATACTTAATTTCCATTCTCACACAACACCAAATCTACAACATTCTCATGACAAAAACTGCTTATGCAACAATTCTTGAAACTGGTAATGACACAGAATCCTTTTCATTGATAAAATTCACAGCTGGGGTAGTTTGGTAGCAGAAATCTTCATGATCATCAAACCCATTGATTGGTCAACTTTTGATTGCCTCTAACATAAACCATTTTTCAAGATATTTAGCTGTTAGATCATTTTGATCAAAGACAAATCATTTAATGGTACAGAACGAATGATTGTTTATTTAACACCCTTTTTGTTGAACACACATCTGAATTAAATTATTACCTAAGGAGATTGAAATTCCCAAGAAATTTCATGAAATTTGATCCTTTTTTGGGTAAAAAGTCCTTAATTGTTTGAGACCTCTTTATAAAAACCGCACAGAGGAGGTTGTCTTTTTCTAAATTTGTGTAACTTACACCCTAACGACCCACCAACGAATTAAGAGCAATGCAGCCCTAAAACTTTGAAAGGGTTAGGGAGGGTCTGGGCTTCTGTCTTCTGTTTTATTTGAAATGTATTTGCTGCATCCCACAAGCTTCCTCTTACTCCTTTTTTCTTTGCTTTTCTATTTCTGATCATTTGTTACGATGTTCTCAAGAAGAAATCATTATAAGTACTACAGATTGACGACATGTTTCTAAAGCGTAGAGATTTAGGTTTCTTTTCAAGGGGCGCTCATCGAGTTTGAAAAAAAAAGTTAGAGTGGCCCAAATTCTCCTTACTGTTGCGTTCTCGTGACTTTTCATGATATTTCCTTATAGTTTGATCATAATTATCTCGTTTTGCATCAAATAACATAATTCATAATTATTTCAGCATTGTTTATTGGTGCCATAGTCAACCAAAGTTATTTCGTATTTCAAAACTAAAAAACCTTAATTGTTTCCAATTATGGCCCCCTTTCTTGACATCAAATCTCTTTGCTTTCACTTTGTTTGCAGTTTCTTAAAGACTTATTGCTAACAATGAGCCATTGCGTCACGCAAGCATCCCATAATGCATTTTTAGACAGTCTGAAATCAATTTTGGTTAATCCATAGAGGTTTACTGCCATTGTTTAGATCGTCGTCACGCTCGCAAAGGCCCATTGTTAGCAATGATTCTTAAAAATCTAACCAACCGTTGAAATAAAAGAATTTCTGTTATTCCTTTCTGGGTTAACATTAATTTAGCACTTTCATAAAGGTAGGTTTTTTAAAAACGGAATTTTCTCATAGTTTAATCACCTTCCATAATCATCACCTGAATTTTTATCAAATACCAAACTTATTTATATTCATTGTAGCAGCTGTCTGTGAAGGATGCTTAATTTACCGTCGAAACGCGTCGCGTCTTCGCTATGGAAGATTGCAAAGCCTACCAGTTTCGTACGAGCATGTACTGCCGCCCCGCCGCCCGCGTTCCCGGACCCGCTACCCGAACCCGTGCCACAAGGTGTCCCTATTAAAATGACATCATCTGAAGCCTTTGTGGAAACTCTCGTCGCCCAGGGAGTTACAGATGTTTTTGGTATTGTCGGATCCGCTTTCATGGACGCGTTGGATTTGTTCCCGGAAGCGGGAATACGGTTCCTATCGGTGCAGCATGAACAGAACGCGGCACATATGGCAGACGGATACGCAAGGGCGAGCGGAAAACATGGAGTGTGCACGGCTCAGAACGGACCAGGTAATGTTTTATTGAAAAATTCCTGGCATCCTTACAATATAGCTTTTGCTAATGTTTTCATTAGAAATGCACTGGTTCGCTCAACCCGTGTTTTATTTCTTTGTTTAATAAAAGAAAAGGTGAATTTTTCAAGAACAAGGGTGTGCCCCTAACCTCGAGTCCTTTAGGTAAGACGATGCCCAATCATTGTCTTAACGAGAAAATTACAGTTCATTAAATTTCCGATGCGAAACAATTGTTACATGCAGCATTTGAACTTTCTATGTTTATTTAAATGTTTAATAGCTAATGTGAGTTAGCTCGACTTCTAAATCTATTGAAGTTGCTTAAGCCGTCTTTCAATCAACACTTGGCCGATCGATACCACCACAAAGGCGGTATATAAGCGAGATTTACTTCCTACTTAATTTCCAGGAATCACAAACTATGCGACAGACTGTGACAGCCTATTTGGCTTTAAAGTATTAACAAACTCAAATAGGCAGAGAGTATATTCAATTAGTATAGAATATTGATAGTCCGTATGACTTTCAATAGGGCGGATAAAAACAATCTTTAAGAACACTTTCTTAAAGATTCACTTTCTACTTCTTTTCCAGGAATCACAAAGTTTCTGACAGCTGATTTACTTCCTGTTTTATTTCTAGCAATCAAAAAGCTTATGACAGCTGATTCACTTCCTACTTCATTTCCAGGAATAGCGAGGTTAATGACAGCTGATTAACTTCCTGTTCTATTTCCAGGAATAACAAACTTTGTAACAGCCATTGCTGCTGCTTACTGGGCACATAGCCCGGTTGTCTGCATCACCCCGGAAGCTGGCACTGCCACAAAAGGTCTAGGCGGATTCCAAGAAGCCGACCAACTTCCGATCTTCAGCTCGATCACAAAGTATCAGGGTCACGTGAACAATCCGAATCGAATGAGTGAAATCACCGCACGTGCATTCGATATTGCGATGAACGAGCGCGGACCAACACAGCTGAATATTCCGCGCGATTATTTCTATCACGAGGCAGACTATGTTATTCCTAAACCTGTCCGTGTTGAAAAATCTGCCGGCGGACCGAATTCACTGGCTGCCGCCGCTGAGTTGATACGCGAAGCGAAGAATCCGGTCATCCTCGCTGGCGGTGGTGTTGTCATGGGTGATGCAGTGAATGAGGTGTCATTGCTGGCGGATTATTTGTCAGCGCCAGTTTGCACAACGTATCTACATAATGACGCGTTCCCTGCAAATCATGGGTTATGGTGCGGTCCGCTCGGTTATCTTGGGCACCAGACCGCAATGAAGACAATCAACGAGGCTGATGTCGTTATTGCTCTTGGAACGAGGCTCAGTCCCTTTGGAACTCTCCCGCAATACGGTTTTGACTATTGGCCTAAAAACGCGAAAATTATCCAGGTAGGGAAAGCAACTAATTTTATTGTAACGGGAAACTTGACTCGTAAAACTTTGGTTCAGTGAGGTGCAGATATAAATGAATGAACCAGAAGGAAGGTGCAACCTTTTGAAAAAAATTCAGCCAATCAGGGCTCTTAGACAAAAAATAGGTTTATTGTTACGCCTCTTTCAACCAAAACTTCTCGATAAGGATGACCGCAGCTGCTTAGTCTATGTCTGCTAAAATCAAAGCTCCATCGACAGACACCTCAAAAAACAAACGATCTAAATCCAGCAAGCAAACTATCAAGCATTTAGAAAATTGTGTACAAAAAATGGACACTTGTATAGTTGCAGTAACGTCTCCTTTATTTGGAGATTTCGTCTGCACCAATTTCAATGCATAACACCCACAAAAAACACTTGAAACATAAATCTCCACTCTTTGGGCAGGCACCGCGGAGCGTTGAGAAAAGTGGGGGGTCTAAAAAAGTGGGGGGGGGGGGTTGGGGGCTAAAAAAGTGAGGGGACTAAAACCGTATAAAAAGAGGCTTTTCTGGTGGTTTGATACTTATTATTTGGCATGTGGCTAAAGCTCCCCCCCAGCCCCCTCTGCTCCGCGGTGCCTGTTGGGGGAAGTAAATATTGTACTGTATATGTTTAGGGCAATATAAATGAGGTCAATGAACCAGAATGGTTTTTTATGGTAGTATTTAATATGTGGCCTTTCTTTCCGGGACCGTAAATTGGAACAGAAATTGTCTTTTTGGAAGAAGTTTGTTTTATGTTTAGTCCCCTAGTTTACTCACGAGATTTTACATAGAGGTTTTGATTGAAAATCCCTGTCCATAATAAAATGAAATGAAATTCAAATGAAAGAAATGTCCTAGAATGTTTTAATAAATTCTTAGCAAGTTTGATCTCAAAATCCTGCTGCCAATTATTGTTATTAAAAAGGTTTGACTGATTTTTGTATCCCATTTATAGATTGTCTACACGTAGTGCCATAGTTTCCTGTTCTTTATTTAGAAAATACTAAAGAAATTGAAGACTGAGGCATCCTTTTGATTTTTCACGTTATATTATTACCACTATATTGTTTTTCCTGCAGCTAGACATAATTTCAGAACCAGGAAATGATTGACATGGTGGCTGTTTAGAATTTCTTGTTAGAATATCTACAATCCCGGACAAAAATGTTGAGATAAAATGCATTTTTTGCAATTTTCTACTTTACCTTGCCCCTGTAAATTCGAATCCCCCCTTTCCCCCCAAAGCAATGTTGGATTTGTAGTTCTATCATTTCTCCTTCAAAATCGTGCATTCAACAGTGAATTGGGGGAGGGGGGGAGTTATTTATCAAAGGAAAGTGAAATTGTAAGCTTTCCTTGAAAAGTCTCAACCATTTTTGTCCGGGATTGTAGCTGCTTCAAAGGATTTTACTCAATAGGGGCTTGTTCATAAGCTTTTGGCCTAAATGCCAATGGTTTCTAACTGTGGAAAATCTGTAGGCATATAAGGTTTTACTGTGTTCGGATTTGCTCACCTAGGTTGAAGTGGACCCGAGAAGAATCGGCCTGGTCAAGTCAGTAGATGTTGGAATAAACGGGGACTGCAAACTGGCTACAAAAGATCTTCTGTCTCGTTTACGTACAATGCATGACGTCACCGCTCGATCAAATGCGCAGGAGAGGCTGACGAAGTTAGCTCAGGTGCGGGAGGAATGGGAACTAAAGTTGGATGACATGACAGAGAGTGTGGAACGCGCCAGAGAAGGAAAGATATTGCCAAGACAGGCGCTGAGGGAACTGGAACGAGCAATGCCTAGCAACGCAATGGTTTCAACGGACATTGGAAATGTTTGCTCTGTGTCTAATGGCTACTTGAGATTCAACAGGTATCTTGTGTTATTTTATTCATGTTTGACACCATTTTGTTTACAAACCAGGCAGGAGAGATGTCAGGAGGTTCGGATGAATAGTTGAAAATGCGGTGTCTCGCCATTTGGACTACACTCTTTTTTATAAGAACCAGTAGAATTAAGTTCAGGCTGATTGCACTTTTTTGAAATTTTTCTGAAAATCTGAGGCTGGGTTTTTTCGTAAATTGTTCTTAAATTAAAAGGGTATAAGCAGTGCAATTGCTAGCTTTTCGCCCTAGGGAGGTGTTCAGGCCTCATTTGCCAACAAAGAGAGTGAGACAACCTTCATTTGGCTTAAATAGCACCCACAAACATCTAGAAGTCTTCATTCTTTGAGATAAAACGTTGTTTAAATTTGCAATATACAGCAGCTCAGCCTCAGTATGTTCTTAATTTTTTCTTAACTTTTTACCAATTTCGAGGCTCGTGTTCTTATAAAACAAGAGTTTATATTTAGGGGCTGGTAGGGGCTCCTTGTTGAAAGTTGATATTGAGCAAAACGGATCTCAAAGAAAGAGATGCCTCTTAAAAAGACATTTTGATACTTCATGCAGTTTTGCTTAAAAGGCAAAATAAATTTTATGGGTAAAAACATTTTAAGGATGTTCTGTGGCTAGGCTCTTTTGGTGTCCATTGGTTCCGTGGCCTCTATTCTAAATTGTCGATGTCTGGACACATCCATCGCATAAATAAATATTGACTGGTGAAAAAACTTATACTCAACTTGCAAGTTTAAGCAGAAATTATCGTCCTTTTTCTAACAATATCTAGAAGAATCTAAAAGTGAAACAGACGAAGTGGCAAAGAACCATTAACTTTTTACGTTGATTGATGCTTTAGTTGCCGTATCAAAAAGGCCATCAAAATACCTGGGTATTCAGCTTCCTCTTAGGGGCATGTAAAGTTTTCTATAACAAATAATTGAGTAGAATGTATTTAAAGAATAATAAAGTCACTTACATTGGTCATGTGGAGGTGATTCGAAGGCGCGAGGTGTTTGACTCTCCAAAACCATTTTGCCAGTAAAGGCTGGTTGGTTTAGGCCATAGGACACAAATGGGACTAGAAAAAATTAAATAAGCTGCGATTCTATATGATTTGTTAAAGTTCTTCACCCTACAAAACCTGACCCGACCTGACCTGACCTGACCCGACCTGACCCGACCTGATTTGAGCCTGACCCGACCTGATTTGAGCCTGACCCGACCTGATTTGAGCCTGACCCGACCTGATTTGAGCCTGACCCGACCTGATTTGAGCCTGACCTGACCTGATTTGAGCCTGACCCGACCTGATTTGAGCCTGACCCGACCTGACCCGACCTGATTTGAGCCTGACCCGACCTGACCCGACCCGACCCGACCCGATTTGAGCCTGACTCTCATCTGACTAAAGTAAGGATAATTCTAGCGAATATCAAGAGACAATCGAGAAAACCCTTTCATTCTAAGAAATTTTTCAAATTAAATAAAAGTTAAAATGGAATTGAGTGGTATCAATGGAAATAATTGCACGGATAGCTGATACAATAGATGAGTTTGATCGCCATCGGTTTCCTGTTTATAAATGGGGATGAAAGAAAGTTTTTGAGGATGAAATAAGCAGATACCTTTAGAAGGTGAAAACTTTTCCAATACATATCTGATGACAACATTTATGGAAGCGATATTCAATAGCAGCGAAGGAAGTCTAAAGTTACAATAATTATTCCAGTGCTGTTTCTAACGAAATGTATGTTTGGCACCTGTTGATTCTCTTTGAGGCTAAGATTAACACGTGACACTAGATGAAGTTTATTATCAACTATTGGTTTGCTTTGCACTGGTGGCCAGTGTGAGAAATTATCTCAAAACATTATCTGAAAACAATATGAAACCTACTCTAACCTACTCGGCTTCAGCAAGAGGGGGGTCAAGACTTTCTTTTTAGTCTACACAAGGGACCATTTTGTTCGAAGGGAAGAACTTCTAATTGACTGGAAGGGCACATACCCCCCTCCCTTCCCCCATACACCTACGAAAATCTTAAGACAAACGCTATAAACTAGACACAATATTTCCAAATCAGGTTATGATTATGATAATGCCAGTTATTTTCTGTATTTCAGCTCACCCTCTTTCTTCGCTGCAATGACCTTTGGTAACTGCGGATACTCCTTCCCATCGGCTATGGGGGCAAAAATCGCTCGACCTGACAGACCAGCTATTGCTTACGTTGGAGAGGGAGCATGGGGTATGAGTTTAAATGAGGTGCTCACTTGCATTAGAGAGAAGATCCCAACAACTGCCATCGTTTTCAATAATGGACAATGGGGAGCTGAGAAGAAAAACCAGGTAAGAGATTACTTCCTCTGACTTTTAAGGTTAAAGATCACTGACCTTTAAGGTTAAAGATCAAAGGTCATCCTATAAACTTTTTAAGGGAAAAGGTTTAAAGGCAAAGGTGAAACATTGTTCTCAACTGGGGCTGAGAAATGGGGGGCTGAGAAAAAGAATTGGGTAAGAAGTTTTTTCCTCTGACATTTAAGAATTTCTGTGTTTGACTGAAAGTAAAAATTTTGAAAAAAGCCCTGACCTCGAGGAAGCACCCCAACTAACATATAGAGAAAATGCAAAAATGAAAAATGAAGAACGGCACTAAAAACCGCCGTGAGAGAGAGTAAAGTTTCACCCAAAACTCGCCGAAGAACCTTTGAAAACCCTTAAACCTCATAACTTCCCTTGCTAACTAATTATGGAAATATATTGAACTTTTGATGTAATATATAATACTTGCAAATTTATAAACATGAACTTTATCAAAATGAACAGAAATGCCATCTTTACAAGATTTTGAATATGATTTAAGATATTTTTTCCGGTTCTTGCAGGTCTTATGGTTTGGTGATCGTTACATCGGGGTTCAGCTGTACAATCCCTGGAGCTATGCCGACATCGCACGAAGCATGAAAGCTGAAGGAATCACGTGCACACATCGTGATCAGATCGGTGATGCTTTGCGGCAAGCAGTTCGAAACCAGGAGGAAGGCAAGACAACTATTGTTGAGTTAATGTTTACAAGAGAGCTTGGTGATCCTTTTAGGCGTGACGCAATGAAATTACCCATCAGGCATTTGGATAAATACAAACGCACTATCCAGACAATGGAATCATCAACCGGGCAGCCTGTGGACATGTGAGCAGGGCGTGGAATCCTACTCGTAAATTAAGGTTTTTTATTCCACCTCTAAAGATTGAAGGGGGCTTATAACTGTGAGGGGGGTTTGTCAATAATTTGCTGGTAGATAGAAGATTTTGAAGGTTAAAACCTAGAGTATAGTAATTTTTTATGTTTACATATTAGCAGGTAGGAACTTCTTGTCATTTTTTTTTATTTCAATCCTCGATCTGTGTGGAGGGAAATCTTGGCAATACTATACTTTGACGGTGACTATTGGAGAATCGGGGGGTTATGTTCAATTTAAAGTTCATGCAATGCATCACACGTTATCTACCTACCTATCTACCGTAAATTCTCTTTTTAGCCCCCGGGGGCTTATTGTTTTTCAGCACTTTAAAGGGGGGACTTAATAGAGGGACTAAATTGAGCTTAAAGAGAGGGGGCTAAATTGAGAGAGGGGGCTTAATAAATATTTTGTAATATAAAAACCATTTATAGTGGTAAACTAATTTTTTGTCATTTGCAAAAAAAACATCAAAGTAGCCTTCTATATCAATAATATTATCATCGTCATCGTCATAAATTATTAATTTCATCCCTCGGAGTACCAACGGCCTGTAATTTTGGTAAAAGGATCTCACATCGAATCTGTCGTGACTGGAAGAGACATGGTGTGAATTTTGACTTGATGCGAAGTATTGAACGACCAATGAATAAAATGAAAATCTCTGTTTTTTGTCAAGTTTACAATCAATTAAAAGTAACAAAATTATGCCTTATAATGTTAAAATGAAAAGAGAAATGGCCGCTCTAAAATGAACTCGAAAATTGACGTTCCTTGCCCAGTCTCGCAAACATACTCAAACTCGACCTATAATTTGTGTACCAAAGTCCTTTTTTATTTAAGTGCATAGAACACTTTTGTCTCGGTTTTTCCAGGGTGTCACGAACAATACGATCCGCATACAGAAATAACTTAATGTTTGACAACTGTAGTTTTGTTGCAACATATTTCGAAATATGTCAGTCCAATATTTGCGCTCTATTTGGGTCAGAAAGGATCCTCAATCGACAAGATCGACTGTTGGTGGCATTCCACTTGCATCATTAGGGGTGTCATTTTCCTGATCGTTCTGTGGTTAGGGGTTCCAATTTTCTGTCTCTCTTTATTAGCTGTGTAATTTTCACTATCTCGTATTGCTGTAATTATAATGTAGCAATACCGGACACAAGGTATCTTGATCTTAGCACCAATATCAGGTTTCGACCAATGTACTTGTGGCTTTTCTGAACAGGCGGTTGTTCAATCTGTCCAGAAGATTTTTGGGACATAAGAGCATCTTTTGTTCCAGTGGCACATTATGGGTGCAACAAGGAGCATGTTCATCCTGATGATTGTGATTATAACTATTATGAAAATTTCGATTGTAATTATTATTATGATTACTCACTTGATGCGAGACATTTCCATCTGATGCACCCACTACACTCTTTTTTTATAAGAACAATTTTATAAGAACACGAGCCTCAAAACTGGTCAAAAGTTAAGAACATTTTAAGAACAAGCTGAGGCTGAGCTTCTGCAAAATGCAATTTTGAACAACGTTTTTTCTCAAAATCGAGGATGTTTAGCGATGTGTGGGTGCTTTTTCGGTGAATATTGAAATTTGTCAGCACATTAAGGCTGT